GTCCACATACGCCAGACATAGTGGCAAATTGTACTCTTCGGACTTCTGTACAACTTGCCGAAGGGTATGTATGTAGTCTATGGTGCTAAAGCCCTTTCGGAAACCGGCTTGTTCGGGAGGCTGGAAGTCGTCAAGACTGCGCGCGAGACGATTCGTAATGACTCTCGAAAACAGCACGTAGACGCGGCTCAGAAGGGAAATCGGTCTGTAGTTCTTCAAGAGAGCGTTGTCGCCTTTCTTGAAGAACAAGACCACCGCACTTCTGCTCCACGCCTCCGGTGTAATGCCACCATGGAGGACGGAATTAAAGAGCTTCTGAAGGACTTCAAGTACCGGTCTTCCACCCGCTTTCAGAAGCTCTGCTGTAATTCCATCCTCGCCTGGGGCCTTACCGTTTTTAAGGTGCTGGAGAGCCATTCTAATTTCGCTCAGACTGACATCCGGGATAGCTTCGGAATAGTGTCGGATGAGACTCGCTCTTGGATCGTTACTCACACTTGCGTGTGGCTCCAACGATGTTGTGTACAGCTGCCCATAGAACCTCTCAATCTCACTCAAAATCTCAGGTGTCCCGAAAACGATGCTGCCACATTCCGTCTTCAGCTTTGACAGTTGGCCCTTTCTGGCAGACAGATCTCTGGCAAAGACTTTGGAGCCTTGGTTCCGCTCGATCGCTTCTTCAATACGAGCTATATTGAAGTTGCGTAAGTCCCGCCGCATGCATTTGGAGATCTGTCTGTTCAGTTGCCTGTATGCTGTCAAATCTGTTGAAGAATGTAGCTTCATCTCCCGTCTAAGAGCCATGAGATTAAGAGTGTGATCGGAGAGTTTTTGTGTTTTTCTGCGGCGGGTCTTGCAGAACTTAGCTCCGACCGCATGGACAGTTTCCACGAGCTTGTCATTCATACCGTCCACTTCATTGCAGTCTTCTAGGCACTGAAAACGGTTTTGTAACTCGAGCTGAAAGGTTTCGGGACTTTGTAACAGAGCACGAGGGGGACGGAACGTTGACTTCATTAGACGAGACCTCTCCAACTTAACGTTTAGGTTCAGTGTGCCTCTAACCATTCGGTGATCGCTACCAGTTTTCATCCTCGCGATCACGGAGACATCACTGAACAGTTGTCGTCTGGTCGTCATAATGAAGTCAATCTCATTTTTTGTCGAACCGTCGGGGCTTGACCAGGTCCACTTCCTGTAGGGCCGCTTCTGGAAGAAAGAGTTCATCATAAAGAATCCCTCTTTCTCCATGAAGTCGGCCAGCTGCTGGCCCCTTGGGTACCGTTGCCCTATTCCAAATTTCCCTACTTTCAGCTCACCGTTCTCTCTTGTGCCTAGTTTTCCATTGAAGTCTCCTATTAACACCGTATATTGGGTTTTGGAGGAATGCATGGCTCTAGAGATATCCTCATACATTTTCTCCACCTCCTCATCGGGGTGTGCCGTAAACCTGTATGACCTTCAGCGAATACCGTTTGGTGATTCTGAGTATAAGGTACGCAAACCTCGTCGACACACTCCCTATCTTTACAACGTTGTTAACGAGAGACTTGTGGACGATAAATCCGACACCTCCTTGGGACAGACGGTCGCCCTCCCGGTGATAGAGCAAGTTGCCGGATTCGAGGATTACCGTGTCCTCCCCCTCTCTTCGGACTTCTGATAATCCTATAATATGCCAGCGCAACTTGTCTATCTCTTTTTCCAGCTCCACGATCTTCTCGTCAGTCCTCAGGGTGCGTGCGTTGTACGTTGCCAGGTCGAGTCGTCTAAGGTGGCGAACGAACCTCCACCGGAGATTCTTAGCACCCCCTGCCCCGCTGTTACCATGGTCACCACCGTAGCTAGGAATAGCGGAGCCGCCGGGGACTGGGGGCCGTCTGTTTGTTGCTTTAGTCATTGGGGGCTATTTGCTATAGTTGCCACGCTTGGCGAGCGGGTTGGCAACCGCAGTTTTTTTGTTGTAATTTTGGCTATTATCAGGAAGATGCTGTTGCCCATCTCCTGCTTGTTTCCCTTTGTCGCCTTTTACGACACCCACGGGAGGATATGGGGTAGTGAATATTCTTGACCGCCACTACACGGCATAATTTCAATCTATTTTCATATATATATTGTAGCAAATTTACATATCTTAATACATCGCGTCTTTGTGAATATTCAGTATAAACTAAACTATATAAATTGAAAGGATCAGTTTCTTCACTTGGCCTTAGTGGAAGTCATAGAGAGGCATAAAATTAAACCCTTTAAATGCTAATTGCAGTCGACAAAATAGCTGGCCTCACCATTCGTAACTGAACTACCTCCTAACTAGGGGTTGAAAATCATTGGCACGTTTCAAATTAATTCACTACAGTGCTTGACTCTCTAATAAATGTTGGTGCTACGAACTATAATTCAAATTAACTTATGTTTGATCCTTGACAAACACATATATGCATCGTATTGTACTATACTAACACTATAGTATTCACAAATCTGAGATAACGAGGGTTAGTATTCAGGTATTATGTCTATGTGTATATGGACATAAGCACTGGGTTCGAATACATGACAGCTAATATACTAGCTTTGAATTCTGAGCTTTATTTCTTCTTACTAATGTTTTAACACGCTAAGCTATTATGTTGAAATTATTTTACTCCTTTTAGTTACTTGATGTTAGCTTCTATTTTTTATTAAGGGTTTGTTTTATAAATTCTTGAATTTTAAAATCAATCTCTTTGCTTTCTTAGAAATAGGTTGAAGGCTAATTATGTTTAAGCGATGAAATTTACCTTATACCAAAAATACTATGATGATGTTGATTATCATTATTAAAACTCTTTACTTTATTGCACACCTGAACATAAGCATTACCCAATAAATGCCATAAAATACGGTCCTGAGTCACATACATTCATCCACATCGACAGTTAATTACTAATGATGTAAGGGAATTATTCCGGCTTACATGTTAAAACAAAATAAAATTAATGTCGCACTAAACATTGTTTAGACTATTAAAATTAAATGGTGCATGAACGAGTTTAAATGGATTTTGCTTAGAAAATTTCAGTACTTCGTGCTTAAGGAATAACATCCTTCGAGTGTAATCGAGTAGCAATTGTTAAATGTAGTGTACGAACTCGATTCAATGTCATAATCGAAGCAGTCAGACGTGTACCTGTGAAAGACTTAAGACCGAATACAAAGCAGAGATAAACGAACAAAGGTTTACACGACATGTATCGTCATACACCGATTTGTTATATCATGGTTATGTTTTTGTAGTATAAGGGTGACAAGCGAGTGCACAGTCCACCTGATGGTAAGTTTTTTTTTTATTTTATAGAGGAGGGGGCAAACAAACATGCGGCTCACCTGATGGTAAGTGACTACCGCCGCCCATGAACAACTGCAACACCAGGGGAATCGCAGATGCGTTGCCGGCCTTTTAAAAAGGAGTAGGCTCTTTTCTTGTAGTCCCTAAGTCGTATCGATCCGGAAAAATCGCTGGTTGTAATCGATTCCACAAGGAAGTTGTGCGAGGGAGAAAACTTCTTCTGAATCGCACAATGGTGGACCGCCAATCATCCAGATGATATGGATGGTATCGCGAGTTTTGTCGCGATGTGCGATGGTGAAATTGAACTTTCACTGGTTAATATTATATTATGAGGCTGATATCATAAGGAGTAACTTAGGGTACTTTTATTTTAGAAAATGAATTAGAGTTCCGCGCAAAGAAATTAAAACCCCTGAAATCGTATTAAATTCCACACGGGCAAAGTCGCGAGGGAGAGCTAGCACTAACATCTAACTATATATGTTTATTTCTAGTATTTATAGAAATATAATTATTTTTATATCCGTACAATGACAAATTATCTATTTAACATTAATGTTATAAAGACAAATTTATCAAAATGTTTCGCATCACACGCTTGTAATTCATCATAACCCAATACACACCTGCCTTCAAAAATCTTATAAAAGAATAGATCCAAGTAGTCTTCCGTTAAATGTAACCATTCTTGTAATGAATTACTGTTTTTTGTGTTCTTTCTTGTTTTGTTTTTAAAAATAAGTTTAATTCAAGTAAGATTGTGTTTTCATATATTTTTATATATTAGCGTCATCATCACTAGAGGAAAAAGTAAAACGGTATGTGAAATAAGAACAGGATCGGAGTTGGTTAGTGCAAGAGGATGAGTTTGAATTTGTGTGACTGTGTGATTAGCAAGGATGATAAACATGATAAGGATATAGAGCGATTAATAAAGTAACACAGAGTGAATGTGGTTCTTAACTTTATAGTTGAAATTAAGAATGTCTAGTGAAAGCTAGGTGTGGCAGAAAAAAGTGACAGTAAAATTAATGCTGTATAAATGCAGACAGTAATAAGTATGTTAAATATGACTCCGAATGATAGCTATAAATCGTATGATGAGAGAGAAGTATTTTTTTTTCATATTACTGTAACCACCATTAAGAAAGTAATGCTTCGGTAATTTTAACAGGTAGAAAAAAAGAAGAGTGTGTGAAAGAAGTGAGGAAAGAGTGACAAAGCAAAATTGTGCTGCATAAGTTAGTAGCAGAGTTGTTAAGGGACCTACTAAACGTCTGTTTGTATACTTAATTGGCAATATATTGACGATATGTTAAATTATGATACATGGATGTATAAGAAGCGAGAGAGTTGTGTTAGGATCGTGCCAAATGTAATCTCTGTCTGGATATTTTAATTGTTTATGAATATATGTGTGTATTATCACGATCATGAACATAATTTTAATTTTATTAAGCGCGTATTCATATACTTTTTGATTTCCATATAAGTAATGTTGATAAACGTTTGGAATTTAATTAAAAAATATTTTTGAATTAACCCTTAATTATTCTAAGATATTTATTTGTATTTTTTATTATGCCTCAATTTTGAACATTTTTCCATACTTATTATTATTATATAGTTAACTACATTATAATATTATTTATATTTGTTTATTCTAGTCATGGCGAGAACAAATTTGGTTACAAAAAATATACAGAAGTTGCTGCTTGTCAGAAAATATAGTAACTTAAGTACTCAAAATTTATGGACAAGAGAAAACATTGTAAATTCACCCTTTAATGATATACAGTTGCCTTCACTCAATGTGACGGAATATATTTGGCAAAACTTGGATAAATGGGCTAACAAACCGGCAACGGTGAATATTATTGGATTAAATATTTTTTTAAATGTTTAATTGAATAAGTATAATACTAAATAATTTTTACATTAAGTTTTGAGCAAGAATTAACTCATTACTATTGTTTAATAAATCAGTACGTAAAGGAAGAAAATAATAGTAAAGTAGTACACATACTGTTGTGGAATAGATCTTATGTAGGTCGTTAATACTAGACTTACTAACTTACTAAAATTGTTGAAGAATATTTAATAATGGCCACTCATTCGCTAATTTCACCGACAAGTGTTGATGTAAGAGAACACACTACCCTGTTTGGCCCGTGTATGTCGTAAAGAGGTGACAGGGGAAACTGAAACAGGACATGAACAGCAGCATCTTCCTGATAAGAATTGAAAATAATAAAATGCCAATGCTGGTCAAACGTGGCAACTGTGGCAAATGTGGCTACTATGAAGCAATCTGTGAGTCTATACGTTTGCATTAATTTATTGACAATTCCGACTTTAGGAGCTTTTATGAGGGAATAATTTTATTGTTTATAGTTTTTAAGTCGATATCTAATATTTATTTTACACTTTTATTTTTTGTTATTTGCCTTTAAAACTTTATCCCCACACTAGTATTTTCTCCTGTGTCGTTGGGGCAGTTTACAAACATAAATTGCACGAGGACAAACATCCAAACATCCTTTTGAATCGACTTAGTCTACCTGATGGTAACTGGTTACTGCAGTCCATTGACACCTGCAGTTAAAGCAGAGGCGTTGTCACCATTGAGTCTTAGTTGGAATGCCTTAGAGTCTGCAATATTACTTGCACTTACCCTTTAGACCGTAATGTAGCAGTACAAGTACTTATATTTGGTGGCAGGAATAGGTAAAAGGGTGGTAGGTACAAGGGTAAGTATCCAGACGGACTCCTAGGCAGAAAAAAGTCCTGACACGTAGACACGACTAAAATCAGTCCTAAATTTTTAAAATAAAAACATTTTCCTCTATTTTTGCACCCTTATACGGAGATTATTTTCATTCAATTTAATGAGGCCACCTTTAATTTGCGAATATAAAAAACAAACGCGTTGAATATAGAAACTACATCTTTGATTAAGTCCGCTAAAACGAATGCTTAATTTGTTCCAAATTTAAATAAATAACCTATAAATATTGTATAAAATAAATTATTATTTTAGAAATACAAAATTATTGTGCTATAAAACATTTCTATTACTTTTAGATATGTGGTATTACTAACCGTTCTTATACGTATAACGAACTTTACAAATATTCCCGTAAATTTGCTGTGAAACTTAGAACACAATGGGATATAAGTGAAGGGGATGTTACATGCATAATGATGTCTAACAATCCAGAGTATGCGATAGTCACACTTGGATCACTTGAAGCAGGAGCAGCTGTTACCACTATAAACCCTCTTTATACAGTCCGTTAGTAAATATGCTTTCGTTAATTAATTAACATTTAATCCTTTTAATGATATTATTATATGAATTAATACTTCTCGACTAACATCAAAATACTCTTCAATAGTGAATTTACGATTTTCCGGATATGAAATTACAAATGCCTTTTTTTAAATAAAGGAAAAGGAAATAATATTATTTTGACGTAAAGATAATATAAAACTTTACACTGCAGATGAAGTTCAAAGACAATTACTACTCTCCAATCCGAAGATTGTAATTGGAAGGCCAGAAACAGTTGGAGTAATTAAAGAAGCGTGTAAGAATGCCAACATGAATTTGCCTATCATAGTAGTGAAAAACACACATGAAAATTTGCCTTCAGGAACAATATGTTTTCATGAACTTATTGATGACGCAAATGTAGACTTTAGTGTTTTGAATACAATTGATAAAAATATTGACGATATTGCTCTTATACCATATTCAAGTGGAACAACTGGCATGCCAAAGGGTGTAGAACTGGTCCACCGAACGTTGGTAACAAATTTTGTGCAACAAGATGCTGAGGGAATCAGACATTATCAACATGCCACAGGTATACTCGTAGCTTACATATCTTTTAATACATTTTATAAAAAATAAACAGAATAGGATAAAATCATTTTCATTCCATACATGTTATAGCACATAATACTTATTGAAAGTCATTTTTTACTTTTATCACTGGTTCGCAAAATACCTCTGGGCTGAGAAGAACCAGCAAGAAACCTAGCGAGACAATTTTTTAAAAAGCACAACTTAAAATATAATATTTTATACAATTGTTATGAAAACATTTAGAAACAGCATTGATGACCTCATTCCCAGGGGTTAATATCAGTCATGTACTCTTTAGTAGTATAATAACTCTTACTAGACAATTTTTCCTTAATAATAATTTAAACCTTTTGATAAGAAAATTCTGCATATACTCTGGGATTTTGTTATAAAAGCGTATACATTGCGCCATGAAGGAATTACTGACCCTTAGAAAATAAAAATATAGAAAATAGAAAATAGAAATTCTAATAAAAGTCATAAACTAGAAATTCTTTATAAAATCCAATTTCTTATCTTAATTCGTGCCCTTTTTTTAGAATCTAATATCAATATTTTTTTTTGACATTCTCTCTTTAATGTTGGCAGGGAGCGTCCATTGGAAACATTTTTCTTTTCAGAAAAAATTGAAAGGTTGACCATCTTGGCGTGGCTTGCGTCCTCGTGTGCCTTCTCTATGAGCAGATTCACAAACTGAATTTGACCATCCAAGATGACTGGTCGCTTCATTCGGTCGTCCACGTTGGCTGCGTTGATTCTACTTCTCGCTCTTAATATGCCATCTTCAATTATGGGGTCAAGCTATCTCAAGGCGCTGCAGTTGACCCAATTTCTATTTTGCTGGAGTCGGCTGATGTTTTCAGCGAAACTGTTGAGCTGGCTACGTCCTATCTGTAGCCGCTCTGTTCTTTGGATGTGCTGTAGTGTTAGTTCTCGAGCCCGTCCTCGCATGGTGTCGACGAACTGTATGATTCCCGCTGTGGCTCTGATTATCTTTTCATACAAAGAGAATCGTTTTATTTCTGGCAGGTGTAGGGCGTCCTTGATATCACTGCGATGCGTCACAATTTCTTCTATATATTCTCTTGCCTTCTCTTCTGGTTGCTGTGGCCATTCGTTTTCTTCTCCATGTTTGTCATGCACGAGTTCCGCGCGTCGCTTGCCTATCAAGTTCGCCTGTATTTCTAATCGCTGTATATTCTTAGGGGCGATTTTCGCCTTGGCCACCAATAACGTAGGCCTATCCGTACCGTCGCGATAAGTACGTTCCCTATCACCGTGAGGTCGGTTCTCTATTACTCCCCCCGTGGGAGCATAGCACGCATTCTCATACTCCGGTGACCGTTCTATCATCCGCTCGATGATTTGGAGTCTTTGTGCTGCCATCTTGTAACTCAGTAACATGCTGACGACGTCATCCCTCCATGGCAGTCCGACTTTGTACTGCTCGCCGACTTTCTTGACGGTGCGCTGGAATATGTCGACAGCGCGCTCCTCTGCCCGCTGGTCTGCTCTTGAGAGATGATGGAGTCGATCTCCTACTGCCTCTTGAGAAGGTCCTGTCAGCTCCTCATCTGGACTGGCGAACATCTTGTCACATTTATTTAACCGTCCGTTTACGTTCGATATGTGTAGCAACGTTTTACTGTCTTGCTTACACATTACGCGCGGCTTGGTTCCTTGAAGACCTAGGATGGGTCTTACAAGGAACCATTCTTAATAAATTGTTATATTTTTAGATACCTAATTTAGTCTTCAAAATCTTATTTTTGACAGTGATTATATGAGTAATTCAAAAGTTTATACACATAGTTTCTGCAAACACCCCTGTGTCAAACCAGACACCAATGTGTTTTGATCATTTTGACGCGTAACATTAATGATACATAAAGGAACTTAACTTTGAACTTTTCCTTTCAGACTCACATCAAGAATCATTATTAGCAGTTCTACCAATGTATCACATGTATGGTCTAGGCATCATTCTATTACAAAAATTAACAACCGGCGCTAAAATTGTTACATTACCTAAGTTTGAAAGAAAAACATTCCTGCACGCGATTAGGGAACACAAAACAAGTTTGCTGCATCTTGTACCACCATTAGGTATTTTCATTTTCTTTAAATTATATTTATCTTTTCAACGCTTACAATCAACTTATTAAATCATCATCATCATTACAGCCCTTCACAAGTCCACTGCTGAACATAGGCCTCCCCCAAAGAATGCCACAAAGCACGGTCCTGAGCCACCTGCATCCATCGACTTCCTGCATATCTTACCAAGTCGTCACTCCATCTAGTGGGGGGACGCCCTACACTTCGCCTGCCGATACGAGGCTGCCACTCGAGAACCTTTCTTCCCCATCGGTTGTCGGTTCTTCGAGCTATATGGCCGGCCCATTACCACTTCAGCTTACTAATCCGTTGGGCCATGTCGGTCATTCTAGTTCTACTGCGGATATCCTCATTTCTGAGTTTATCACGCAGAGAAACTCCGAGCATAGCCCTCTCCATAGCTCGCTGAGCGACCTTGAGCTTCCTCATCCGGCCAGCAGTGAAGGACCACGTCTCAGTTCCGTATGTCATCACTGGCAACACGCTCTGGGTGTACAGTCTCGTTTTCAAGTTTTGAGGTATACCTGACGAGAAGATGTGCCGTAATTTCCCGAATGCTGCCCAACCGAGTTGAATCCGTCGATTGACCTCTCGGTCGAAGTTGGACTTACCTAGTCGGACTATTTGTCCCAGGTAAACATACTCGTCAACAACTTTGAGCTTAGTGTTCCCAACAACTACCGGCATAGGTGTGACATGGACATTAAACATGATCTTTGTTTTGTCCATGTTCATCTTAAGACCTATCCGTTGGGAAACACTATTGAGGTCATTGAGCATAGTGCTTAGGTCCTCCAGCGATTCTGCCATAAGGACTATATCGTCGGCAAATCGAAGGTGAGTGATGTACTCGCCATTGATGTTGATACCGTATCCTTTCCAGTCCAGAAGCTTGAAAACATCTTCCAATGCAGCGGTAAAGAGTTTCGGGGATATGACGTCACCCTGTCTTACACCGCTCTGCAATTTGATAGGTTTCGTACTCTGGTTCTGTACTCGGATAGCCATCGTAGCCCTACTGTACAAGCACTTCAACACTTCGATATACCGACAGTCAACTTGGCATCGCTGAAGGGACTGCAGCACCGCCCAAATTTCGACGGAATCAAAGGCTTTCTCATAGTCCACATACGCCAGACGTAGTGGCAAATTGTACTCCTCGGACTTCTGTACAATTTGCCGAAGGGTATGTATGTGGTCTATGGTGCTAAAGCCCTTTCGGAAACCGGCTTGTTCGGGAGGCTGGAAGTCGTCAAGTCTGCGCGCGAGGCGATTCGTAATGACTCTCGAAAACAGCACATAGACGCGGCTTAGAAGGGAAATCGGTCTGTAGTTCTTCAAGAGAGCGTTGTCGCCTTTCTTGAAGAACAAGACCACCGCACTTCTGCTCCACGCCTCCGGTGTAATGCCACCATGGAGGACGGAATGAAAGAGCTTCTGAAGGACTTCAAGTACCGGTTTTCCACCCGCTTTCAGAAGCTTCGCTGTAATTCCATCCTCGCCTGGGGCCTTGCCGTTTTTAAGGTGCTGGAGAGCCATTCTAATCTCGCTCAGACTGACGTCCGGGATATCATCGGAATAATGTCGGATAAGACTCGCTCTTGGATCGTTACTCACACTTGCGTGCGGCTCCAACGATGACGTGTATAGCTGCCTATAGAACCTCTCAATCTCACTCAAAATCTCAGGTGCCCTGGAAACGATGCTGCCACACTCTGTCTTCAGCTTTGACAGTTGGCGCTTTCTGGCAGACAGATCTCTGGCAAAGACATTGGAGCCTTGGTTCCGCTCAATCGCTTCTTCAATACGAGCTGTATTGAAGTTGCGTAAGTCCCGCCGCATGCATTTGGAGATCTGTCTGTTCAGTTGCCTGTATGCTGTTAAATCTGTTGAAGAATGTAGCTTCATCTCCCGTCTAACAGCCATGAGATTAAGAGTGTGATCGGATAGTTTTTGTGTTCTTCTGCGGCGGGTCTTGCAGAACTTAGCTCCGACGGCATGGACAGTTTCCACGAGCTTGTCATTCAAATTGTCCACTTCATTGCAGTCTTCTAGGCACTGAAAACGGTTTTGTAACTCGAGCTGAAAGGTTTCGGGACTTTGGATTAGAGCACGAGGGGGACGGAGCGTTGACTTCATTAGACGAGACCTCTCCAACTTAACGTTTAGGTTCAGTGTGCCTCTAAACATTCGATGATCGCTGCCGGTTTTCACCCTCGCGATCACTGAGACATCACTGAACAGTTGTCGTCTGGTCGTCATAATGAAGTCAATCTCATTTTTTGTCGAACCGTCGGGGCTCGACTTCCTGTGGGGCCGCTTCTGGAAGAAAGAGTTCATCATAAAGAGTCCCTCTTTCTCCATGAAGTCAGCCAACTGCTGGCCCCTTGGGTTCCGTTGCCCTATTCCAAATTTCCCTACTTTCAGCTCACCGTTCTCTCTTGTGCCTAGTTTTCCATTGAAGTCTCCTATTAACACCGTATATTGGGTTTTGGAGGAATGCATGGCTCTAGAGATATCCTCATACATTTCCTCCACCTACTCATCGGGGTGTGCCGAGGTTGGTGCGTAAACCTGTATGACCTTCAGCGAATACCGTTTGGTGATTCTGAGTATAAGGTACGAAACCCTTGTCGACACACTCTCAATTTTTACAACGTTGTTAACGAGAGACTTGTGGACGATAAATCCGACAGATGGTCGCCCTCCCGGTAATAGAACAAGTTGCCGGATTCGAGGATTACCGTTTCCTCCCCCTCTCTTCGGACTTCGGATAACCTTATAATATGCCAGCGTAATTTTTCTATCTCTTCTTCCAGCTCCACAATCTTCTCGTCAGTCCTTAGGGTGCCTGCGTTGTATGTTGCCAGGTCGAGTCGTCGTAGGTGGCAACCGAACCTCCACCGGAGATTCTTAGCACCCCCTGCACCGCCGTTACCATGTTCGCCACCGTAGCCAGGAATAGCGGGGCCGCCGGGGACTGGGGGCCATCTCTTTGTTACATTCATTCATAGGGGTGTATTTGCCATAGTTGCCACGCTTGGCTAGCGGGTTGGCTACCGCAGTTTTTTTATTGTATTTTTGCTGTTATCAGGAAGATGCTGCTGCCCATCTCCTGCCTGTTTCCCTTTGTCGCCTTTTACGACACCCACGGGAAGATATGGGGTAGTGGATATTCTTAACCGCCACTACACGGCATACACTTATTAAACACCTCACTGTAAATCAATTTCAAAAATTAAAAATAATTACATGATGAAATCTAAACCGGACACTTCTCATTTAAATATAAGCGTCTAATATATTATATTATCACCGCTACATCCTATCAAAAGTCCACTGCTGAACATAGATCTCTTTCATAGACTGCCTCACAAGGAGGATATTTGACTGCCTCATAATTTATGACTCACAATCTCATTAATCAAGTTGTCGTAAATAAGAATGCTTATCATAACGTCCCGGGTGCGAATCCCGGTTTGGGCCAAAAAACAGTCTTTTTGTCTTAAGAAATTCTCAGTATCCCCGAAGTTGGCGGTGTTTCACCCCCGTGCTTCATAAAGCATGTAAAACCGTTAGTTCTGCATATGATTTCTCTCCAATCGTGTCGTATTACCGACCTATGGGACTATGATATTAAGGGAATAGAAGGTGCACCTGTGCATGCGCATGAACTCGGACAGTATAATCCTGTTCCGCGCAGATGGTTAGTTTTTGTTAACACTGGTCCCAGTGGCCGAAATTCATTCCAGTTCAAGTTTGGCAGGCGGGTTTGTAACCGCAGTTTTTTTTAATTATTTAGTTCTTCTTGGGAAAGCTCTTTTGCCCATCTCTTGGTCCGTTTCCTTCTGTCACCTCTTACGACACCCACGGGACGATATGGGGTAGTAGATATTCGCAAAAACATGGTCTACATGTTCGGTACGTTATGAATTAAAGTAATATTATCACATTTTGAAATGGTTTATATATTTGTAACGTCTAGTGGCGGTGTAATAACATCCACTGCCCCATATCCTCCCGAGGGTATCGCGTAAGAGGTGACAGAGAGAAACTGAAACAGGAGATGGGCTAGCATATATTGAAAGAAAACTAGCATATTCTTAACCACACCAAGTAGGTAAGTGTTCAGCAACCTTAAATATCTTTAGGCTACTGTCGCAGTTAATTGACAAATTTAATTTTGAAATTTTTTATTCGAAATTTTTAGCATCATTTTTGGGATCTCACCCTAGCGTTGAAGACGAATATTTGTCTCATATTCATACTTATATATGTGGAGCTGCGCCGCTGCCAAAACAAGATATTTTTCAAGTACTTGAAAAATCAAAGGTTTGCTTATTTTATTTTATGTCATTAGTTATCATCACAACATAGAAATATTAAATAAGAGCCGTGAAGTTGAAATAAAAATATGAATAGAAATGTAATTTTTTTATTCAATATAGGTTTTAAATAGTACTTATTGAAAATCACTCTTATGTTTTATTTGCCACTGGTTCGTAAAACACATCTATCCTGGGAAGAACCAGCAAGTAATCCAGCTGGACTTTTTTTTAGTAGAATGAGCGTATGCCAGTATTTGTATGAAAACTGAGTAATACCCCACGTATTTCTGAGGAATGGTGGTGACAGATCGGCTTGTAAAGATGTAAGAAAGATGATTATTTGAACATTAGTTAAATTTTGCAAATGTCCTGTACAAAATTGTCGTATTGACGAAATAGTAAGAGAGTGAGGTACAGACGGTACGCTAATTCTGTCGCGAGACGCGAAGTCTGTTATTTCCTATTTCTGCGTTAAATCTAAATCACTTCTCTCATATTTTCATCATGGCTCATCGCACAATACACATTAGGACATGAGACTATTGCTGTTTGACCGTTACCGACCAACTGCTTGTGTCTAAATATATGGATTCAGGCCATCGCATTAATCCCTGTTAACTTGGAACTTTAAACTATAGAGTACTAGGTCGAATGGGCGCCTGAAAAAATTTTATATTTCCATTTTTGTCATATTTATGATTTTAACTTGTCATTCACCTTCTTTTACTACCATTACGACAATTTTATCTGAAGTATAGAATTTACAATTGTTACAAAAATATTGACAAACTTTTTAACACCATAAATACAATTTAATATTAAAGAGATTCTTTGTTTGCAAGATTTGTGACACAATAATTATTTCAGCCGAACGTAGATTTTTTGCAAGTTTACGGATTGACTGAAACATCATCATTGGCGACAACCGTACCACCAGAATCAAAAAATTACACTTCAGTAGGTGTAGCCCTGCCTAGTACTAAACTGCGAATTGTCGACTCTGATGACAGAAATTTGGGGCCGAATGCAGTAAGTACCTTAGTAGAAATTACAAAGAGACTCTCCCTTGTTATTGAGATGTATAATCTAAATTTTTAATGCATTTAGAGCTATTATTTCTTTTTTTCAGTAGTAGCATTTATTCACACACCAATCACTCACCTCCCCAATAAAACTCATCAGTTCATGCTTTTGACGCTCTTTATAGTGCTATCGTTCTTAATTTAGTCGTTGATATGTGCACAGTTATATAAGATGGAGGTATATGCGGAATGGTGATTTCTATGCAAGAGACCAATCACTTAACACGTTCACTGTCCGGTTTTCAGACACAATAGTAAGACAATAGCAGTGACCTATATGTAGTGCACGGGACAGCGAAAGGGTTAAAGTACCGCACCTCATTGTAGTACATACATAAGCTCTTAAGCATGTCGTTCAGAAGGGTAGACTAATATTACGGACATCCATTTGGTATGATTCTGACAAACATCCTACGTTTCTGTCACATCCGTATATATTATTATCCTACTTCTTAATTTCCGCATTTATACAGCATTAATTTTACTCACACGCTCCTTCTGTCATACCCAACATTGTAACATGTAACACGTAACATGTAACATGGTGTAAGCCCGACGATAGTCGTATTGATGCTTGTTGCATTCTGCAGCATTGCGTCTCTACGATGGTTGTTTGGCGGGTCGCTATTCTCAATGGCGCTCTCCGCGTCTTGGTTTGATTCACAACCTAAGTAGCTTTGCTCAAGTCGGGTCCCTTCATTGCGGGGGGCTGCAGACTGTCTGTCCTGCATGATGTTTTATATAACAACTTAATAATATATCTCTATAAAGTTCCCACCTTTGAGAGATTGAAGGCAACTCGTTGGTGGGTGAGACAAACATGATCGAAAAATGCATATTCTCAACGTCAATGATACAAACCCTTTCTGATGGCGAATTATTAATATTATCTTATAACTGCCTATTGGCTATATCTGCCATTGTATTGGTTGGTGGAGCATATGTGTCGACCTCATGCGGGTGGTAGCTGGAGGGAGAATCTGAGGAGGCTCTCAAGGCTGCGGCCGAAAGCCGCGCAACGTGGGACCCCATTCCCTTGAGGTGAGCGGTAGACTCATGACACGCTCTGCGGCCAATTGGCCGTGCTGACCATGCAATTGGTGGTGATGCCTTACACTTACATCACGTCAGCAGAAACGGCGGTCTGGCAGGTGGTGGCGCTCACGGAGGGCTTTTTATGGTCAGTGTGCCGATTGTTGCCTAACCCGTGTGACGTACATTTCACTGTGGCTGGATTTGATCGTATTCTGTCGATGTTTGTGCTTACGCACTATCAAGGGGCCAAGTCCTCTTTTACTGGTTCGCCAGTTATTTTGCTGTGGACTACGGTCCAGTTCCCAACTTTGCGTACCCTTCGGGGGTAGCGCATTAAAATGGTTGGCGCTCACCGTGCGCGGCGGCCGTGTACCTCCTCCACATTTTTTTTAAATGTGGGAGAGCGAAGCCCTTGTAGCTGGTATTTGATATAAATATTGTGAGCCTTTTCCAAGCGGGAAGGGATTAATTGATAAGGAATTGACTGTTGTGAACCAGATACAAGTGGAATAGGGACAATTTATTGTTCTTAATCTTTTTGAGCTCTATCTTCGTGAACGGGGTTCTTTAGCTTATAAGACTCTACCAACAGCTTTCGATTGCTCTCGTGAATATTCATTCTTCCAAGATACACCTAAAAGAACTAAGTTACTATACAAACACAACGTAAAAAAAAGGGTCCTAACTAAGACGATCACGCCATAAAGTTATTAAACGGCCTATATTTAAACCTTTAGAAAGATCAAGATATACTGGTCACGTAAATTAGATATATTTATATATCTTACAGATATAGATTCTAAAGAAATACAAGTATAAGTGGATATATAGTAGAAAAGAAAAAATAGAGGGGGGGGGGGGGCTTCGTTACAATTTCATTTGAAAAATATTAAATATTTATTTATTTATTTAATCTTAAATGTTAACACCTTAATAGATAGGGTAAAAAGGGCGGACTTAATGCCTATCGGCATTCTCTGCCAGTCAACCCGTTAATATAATGCGGGACATAACTTTGTTACTCAAACGAAAATTACGTCGCTCAAGCAAAATCATGATGCTCGTTTAAAATAAATGGTAAATAAAACTGCCTTTTATCTATTCCTATTTGCGGACTTTGTAGCTGCTCGAATTAAGTAGTATTTTAATTACTAGTGTTTATTATTTTTGAAAACTTATATTTGAATTTTCTTATACATAGGCTGCACTAAAAGTATCGGGAATGGAATATTTCCACTGTTTCTATCATAGTATGATAAAAGAGCACAAAGTCCACCCAATGGTGAATAAGGTGACCCATAGATCTATCTAATTTTTTTTATAGGATAGGGTGGCAAACGAGCACACAGTCCACCTGGTGGTAAGTGGTTGCTGCAGCCCATAGAGATCTACATTTATCCTCAATAAAGAATCAAAATGTAGATGCGTCGGCACCCGTGAGGACTAAGATGGAATGCCTCTTTTCCAGTAAAATGGGTCTCCGGTTCTCTACACTCACCATACGAAACACAGCAGCGTTAAGCTGCTATTTTACGCTGGTTTTCTGTGAGAGCGTGGTCCTTCCCCGGTCGAGCCGACCCATTCGTGCTACAACTATACTACTAATATAGCTGCAGCATGGCTCTACCACGTATAAAATCTATTCTCGATTAATAATCAAAATGCAGATGCGTTCCATTAAAAAAAGTTTTCGGATGTCTGCACTCACCATACAAAATAAAGCAGTATGGACCTGCTGTTTTACACTGGTATTCTGTGATAGTGTGTACCTTTCTTTAGCAATTCGTGCTCAATAGCAGCATAGCTCTATCGAGTATAAATTAAATTTTGAATCATTCGTCTAAATACCTGTCTTATTAAACTAACTACAAGATTTTCTATAGAGAATACTCTTTCGGAAAGTAAAACTGTAATCATTTGAAGCTTTATTAGCAAAATCGCATTACGATTCCACAATGTGCTCGCACTTCAAATGTTTTCGCTTTGCTTCCGTTTTATCTTTTTGCATACGGAAATAATTTGTGTTTAAGCGAACTACAAGGATTAATTCGGCCACTGGTCAAGTGTGCTTTGTCCATTACAGCCTATGAAAGTTCACTGTTTAACATAGGTCTCTTTTATAGATGGCCTCTTATGGGTCGCCCCTTTTGCCACAGTTGCTACAATTGGTGGGTAGGTTGCGAGTTGTTATTAGTAAGATGCTGCTGCCCATTTCATGTTTTTGTTTCCTTATGTCGCCTCTTACACGGGTAGTTTTTGTGTTGTGGATATTTTTTACACCGCCAGTACACTGTGGTTATTACTACACAATAATATGTTTGCAGTTTAATAATGTGTTGCAGGCGTGGAAGAAGTTGACTAAGGTAATGCCAAAAATAAAACGTTGTAGTTTCTTATAAACGACGGAATAAACGATTGTGCCAAAAATACCCCGAATATATTGTGTAATAAAAGAAAATTCGAAGAAGCTCAGAAAATATTTCAATGTGTTTTTTTTTTATTCACGACAGTTCATCTATAAGTATGTAGGATACATGAACTTATTGAGAATATTATTGTCGTTTTATGACATTTTTTAATGTTTAATTTTTGCATACTAAAATAAACAATCCTAAAAAATCATAATATTATTACGTCATTTTTTATTTTTTTTTAATAATAATTAATAATTTAAATTTCATAACCTTTTATATTTTTTGCGAAATTTTAATTCTGGGGGCACGGGAGTGCCCCCACCAAGTCGAACAAAAAAGCGGCACGGCCGTACCATCCTTTTTTCGAAGCAGTTCAGGCCATTTTCGAAACCCTATAACTTCTAGCAGACGCAGAATCTTCATATTTGGAATACAATTAGTGTTTAGTGTATAAATCAAGAAAAATTAAAATATTTTTTTAATTTCGGTCCAGTTTTCTACATACACCAACTGCATAAATAACTTTGAAATCCTATATAAATATATAGGATTACAAAGTTACATTTGCAGTGAATGGATCAGTGTACCTGTATATGTATAATATAAATGAAATGTAGATAGGTACCTAGATATACTAATGTTCAAAGGTAACTTTTAAAATGGTTAACGGAATGAAAAAGCAAGAATGGAACATGCCTTATGAAGTTGTACCATAATCCCGCAAAGTATTAGGTAGACTAAATTGCCCGAAAATCTGTAGTTGGTATTCAAGAAGTAGATGGTATCGGAAAGGCAAAAAAGTAGGACTATCTACAAAAAGAAATGAGATGCCATCAAAGAGATAACTTGTAAAAAAACAAAAGTCTCGCAACAGCTCAGTTCTTATACCGTGAAAAGTTGTGAGATCCATGTAATACCAAGTCGGTTTATTTATTCAGTCCCTACTTAAGGATCCTTCTGTCTCAAGTTATTATGTAATAAGCTAACCTAACAACATCTTTTAGTGACCATATCAATATTAAAAATCTTTTATGTTTTAAATACATAGATTGACTTGGCAAAAAAGGTTCTTACGCAGTCTTTACTTCCCGCATTCCACTTGTAAGATAGTTATATTACTATATCGTGCTCGTGTCATAGTTATATTTCTAGTAAGACAGTTAAGAACCAATTTTAAATGACTATATTACTGTATATAGCTATAACGCTAAGGATATAACTATATAACGGCTTTTACCATCTTAATTCGAAGCATATTATAGTTGAAAATATCTATAAATTTTTATCGTGAAGAAAAAAGAAAGAAAAGCGGTTAATTTTATGAAGAATATAATAAGTTAAATCATTTTACTACGTTTTTTTATTCAATAGAGATGACAAAAATATGAAAGTCATTTAAGATTTACCAAAGAAAAAATAAATTAATATATTGCATATTTTATAAAGGTTGGTGAATTGCTAATAAAAGGACCTCAAATTATGAAAGGATACAGAAACAACCCAGAAGCAACTAAAGCTGTTATAACAGATGATGGATGGTTTCGTTCAGGTGACTTAGCTTCTATTGATCACGCCGGTGTAGTCACTATATGTGATAGAATAAAGGAGCTCATTAAGGTACGTACATAATACACTTATTTATCATACCAACCGGTTTTGCCTTAATATGACGATGCCCCCAGGCGAAACAAGTATGTTTATTAAATAAGCAGTAACATGAAAATGATACAAGTGTCAAGGTTATAAATATCACTATTCTTACTTCTTACTATTCGCTTATTACATACACTAAACCTAATTACTAATTAGATAGATAGAAACCTAGTATATTGATTAATATATAATTATACACTTTCAGGTGAAAGGTTTCCAAGTCGCTCCAGCTGAATTAGAAAGTGTACTTAAAGAACATCCCGATATCTTAGATGCTGCGGTAATTGGTGTTCCAGATTCTAAACTGGGTGAAGTACCTAAGGCTTTTGTGGTTCTTAAAGATGGGTGTAAACAAGACTCCATTAATGTCAAAAAATTTGTAGAGGACAGGGTTGCATCCTATAAAAGATTAAGTGATGTTGAATTTATGAAGAGTTTGCCAAGAAACCCTTCTGGAAAGATTTTGAAAAAAGTTCTCAGAGAAAACTGTGCTAAATTTTGTTAATTATTTACTTCTGACTTATTAAAATTTTATTTTTTGTTTACATTTAATTTCATTCTTCGTTAACATAGTTATACATGAAGGTTACAAGGTAGAAAATTATTTCCTTAAACCACCTGAGTTTACCATTTCTCAACAAACCTACTCCTTTTTAAAAGTCTGGCAATGCACCTGCAATTCCACGGGTGTTGCATTTGTTCATGGGTGGCGGTCGACATTTACAATCAGGTGAGATGGACGCTGGCTTACCCCATCTTCTATTAAAAGAAAACAAACGCAGTGCTAAAAGTAGATGGAAGAAAGGTTCAACCTTAAGAGGATATATGTGTTTAAGGAATTTAGTTGCAATTACTGAAAAATCCAGATATTGGTTATTTATTTTTTATCAGCCCTTAAAACTATCCTCCATTGGCCTCTGGAGCCGGGATCTCGAACGCTTAATAATGCATTCCCGAGAAATGCGATCGTAATTGGCCCCGCGTTATAGTGATAGTAATTATAATTATCTTCATCACTATCAACATCATTACAGCCCTTCACAAGTCCATTGCTGAACATAGGCCTAACCCCAAGGAATGCCACAAGGCACGGTCCTAAGCCACGTACATCCATAGACGTCATGCATGTCTTACCAGGTCACCACTCCATCTAGTGAGGGGCCGCCCTACATTTCGCTTACCGATATGAGGCTGCCACTCGAGAACCTTTCTTCCACATTGGTTGCCGGTTCTTCGAGCTATACGGCCGGCGCATTTCCACTTTGGCTTACTATTCAGTACTTATGTATCTGAGACATGGTTATTTACTGATGGCCAGGACAAGGTCACTCAGCAAGCTACGGAGACTGCTATGCTCGGGGTTTCTCTACGTGACTTGTAAATGGCTGTAATGATTATGATGTTATATTCATTTGATACGGTTCAGATTATTTGAAACAAAATAATATGTATTTCTGTATTTATATATGTGTAATTTATGTTGTGTATATATTGTCTTATTTTCTCTAAATTCTATTATTCTATTATCATCTCAATAATTTCTAAAGTTTTGCACCTTGCACCCTATTTATATTTCCGATCGACCTGGAGGACGACTGGCAGAAGATGTCTAGTAACTTTAAGGCCACCTTTTTGTAGTAGACGTTAATTTGCAAACAAAGCATTACAAAATAAAACAAATAGTAATTCAAATGTACTGGAGTATCTCCCCGTATCGCTTTATTGATCCACAGCAACGTGATAATTTTCCCTGGTAAAGAAATTATAATTCTAGAAAATAGTCAAATGGTGAGTTTACTGCTCCAAATTTTAAATTTCGTAATCCCTATTTATTAGCACATTGTTGCACCTTTTCCATAAATAAACCAGCATTGTATACCTGCTTTACGTCTTTTACCATAGGCAGAATCAACACAACATGTCGGCGTAACAAAGCACCAGTCACGTTCGAACTTAACAACCAAAGTTTTGCACTTTGGCTGCTCTAACATCAAGTTGTGAATGCCAAACAGGTACACTGAGCCATAATGAAATTTTACCTCTCAATGATTACATTTGGCACACTTGCTTAGTACCACGCTTCTTAATTCAACATAAAATTTACATTTCTGAGACGTTTGTGATAAAGATATAATAATATGATGTCCATACTATTTTTAGCACTATGGCACAAGAATAACCCAAACGGAATCGGATACACGATATAAATACGAAAAGAGTGTAGTTTGTTAAAACTTCGATCTTGCTAAGACCTCTTACGAATACCGTATTATACTTATTTTGATACTAGTAGAAGCAATATTGGTAGCAGTTATGTGCTATGGTATAGGACTTAATATGAAATGGCATTTCTTGTTCCGCTTCAGATTTGAGTAATCAGTTGCTTGACTATAAAGGAATACAAAGCTCATACCGGGTCCACGTGTTGTCCACTTACCATTTCGTCCGTTGTAAACATTCACGCATTTGAAACGCTTCCCTGACTGCCTCTATGTGGCCTGTTCTTTAACTATTTACATTAAAAGCTGTTATGTGCGTTTATAAATATATTAAGTAAATAATATACTCGTCATGATACAGAGATACATTTGATGAGGAGATACATCATAATATGCATCCAAATTACAAGATTTCTTATTTTTGTAAACAAAGAAAAAGTTACTGTTACTTATATAAGACAGATATATACAGTACATCATAGATTAAATATTGGTACTCCAATTCGATAGTACATTTTATTTACTTTTTGTGATTCGCGTTTCTGTCTTCAAACAGCACTTATATTCTTATTTAATTTTATTAAAATTATTTTCTTTTTACATTTCAGTACAAACATTCCAAAGGTTAGAAAGTACTAGACAGTTATCATAAGCAATCTTACATTTTTTACTCGTATATTTGTCAATTAAGTATGTGTTACTATTACATCAGTATATATACGAGGGCGACACTGAAAGTTTTTAGAACTGGCCATTTGTAAACGATAAAATAAAAACATAAGTTCAAATTTTGAAAATGGAACTCTTTGCCAATATTACTGTGTATGTATTTTATAAATTTGTCAATTGTTTACGATTTGGCGGCACATTGAAAATTGTCTGTGTGACGTCAGCAAGAATTTAACGCGAGAAAAATTTCGTATACTGATTTTTTTTATGAGTTTCAATGTTATTTACGTCAACAAGAAAGTTATGATAGACTTCGATTAGAGTTTCACGATAAAGTCCCATCTCGTGTCACTATATACAACTGGTTTAATGAGTTTAAACGTGGTCGCACTAATTTTACCGATAATCTGCGTGAGGGACGGCCTTTTAAGGCGACAACTGAAGATAACTTCAGTGTTGTGCGGCGTATGACAAAGACTGAAAAAAGAGTGACTTATCAGCATATTCGGACAAGCTTATGACGGAGTTTTTGGGCTTCTGTCAATTTATGAGATATCGACCGGGAACAAAGCTTCCTGACCGCTAAATGTTCATGGAAGATGAACATTTAGCGGTCAGGAAGGTCAGGTCTCCGTCGTGTTGATTGGTTTCGTGAATGATTTAATGGAGGTGATTCAAATCCTGTGTTCGACATACTTAAGTGTGACAAAAGCAAGATTTATTGTTATGATCCTGAAACTAAGAGACAGTCTGCTGTCTGTGTGTTTCCTTCCGAGGGGTTGCCAACTAAAGCGAAGAGAGTGCGAAGCGTGAGAAAAAAGATGGTGGCCTCGTTCTTCGGAGGGACAGGTCATTACGCAACAATTGTTTTAAAGGATCGAAAAACAGTTACTGCAGAGTGGTACACTAACAATTGTTTGCCACTTGTCTTGGAAAAAGTTCGGGAGAAACGACCTTGCAGTAGGATCCTCCTTCACAATGAACACGCCTCATCGCACACCGCCAAGCAAACGATCGACTACTTGGCGACGTCAGACGTGGAATTACTGGGTTACTCGCTCTACAACCCCGACCTTGCACTTTGCGATTTTTATTTATTTAAAACTTCGAGGAAACGTTTTACAGACGCCGAGGAAGCAGTGGGACGAGTGGGCAAAGTGCTTTTCTCAGTGGTTCCATCGGATGCAGACATTATTTTGAAAAGATATAATAAAACTAATAACTTGATAGTTTTTTCAGTTTTAGATTATCTAAGAACTTTCAGTGTCACCCTCGTATATAGCACACTCAGATCTTAAGTGAGACTATTAAAAAAAGTCATATTTCAGAAGATAAACAAATTTATAACTTCGATTTTCGTTAGGGAGGCTATGGAACCCAATGGTATTTTAAATCCTAAATAGGTTGTAAAATGTCACTTCATATAAACTAGGGCTGAGATTCAATGCTTTTTACCGATAATAGCCATTTTTCGAGTTATTACACTTTAAGATGGTGACTTGGTATAAAAAATAAAGCACATAAAGACTTGAAACAGTTTTATTTAACAACTTTGAGTTAAACTTAAATTAGAACACAAAATAAATTAACAATTCTTCAAACAAAACTGTTCTTAATTAGTTGAGAACAAACAATTGAGATGTTTTTCTCTCGCTTCCAAAAACTTCTTAAGTTTTTCAGATAAAATATAAAAAAAATAAAACTTTCATAAAGGTTTTTTTCACAACGCCTATGATATTTTTTTAAATACTAGTAATGTTATTAAACATTACTAATATTCCCTTTAACCACTTCTGGTAAGCTTAAAATGCTTGTGTTAGAAGTGGTTCACGACAGTAGTCGAATGGCGGATTTCGAGCTTTCGAGTTCGCGGTCCGCGCCTTGCTACTGACGCTTCAATCACCAATATAAATTTTAAAATATTAAAATTAAACAATAGCTATATAGCAAATGTAAAGTTTTATAATCTTGTTATAATAAAAAGAACGTATAAATTGCTAAGCAGTAATTACTCGTATTAGTTATTTTGTGTGGCAACTTTGAGATCAACAATTGGAATTAAGGGAAAATTGTCTTTTTATTAAACTAAGTAAGTTTCAAATAGTAAACATAATAAGCACGAAAAAGAAATATCGGTTTTTTTTTAATATAATTACAACCGTATCATAAGCAATCAGATATTATTTCCAAGTACATTTTTAAAATATGAATTTACATAAACCTGTGGGATAACATGTTTTGTTATTAGAACCTTAAGGTCTTATACCTTTGCCTCAGATAGTCGTATTTTTTGTGTATAAGCTTTGGTTTGGCATTTCCTCACAAACAATTTTTTATAATTTTCATCTGAAAATTATGTTTTATAAAAAATGCTCCCGGGTTCTCCTTTTCCACTCTTAAGATCTTAATATCATGCCATTTTACTTGCTTGCGATCTTCATCTATATTGAAATTATTTCCCCACTCTACTTGCAAGATTTTAGTGCCGTAAAACTTTTCAAATGTCATCTCTTGGAAGTGCCCGAGTTTTTTTACTGTAAGAATCAGTGTGCAATGCTGTTGCGGGTTATATATCGGACCAGACTAAACATGCCTTTTTATTTGTCTTTCGATGACA